AAAGAGATCGATATAAAAACAATAAATTTTGGGATTCACTTTAGAAGAGCTTTATCAGAACTAATAATGAGCGTGGCTCCACAAAAATTAGTGCAGGCACAAAGTCTACAAAAAAAACAAGGGCAGGCATGAGGCCCACTAAATAAGTGTGAGTACGATGCTCATGAATATTCATTCCTCTATTTCACGTGCATTGGCTTGCGCACGAGGCTAACACCTCCTATAAACATCCTGCTAGCTAAATGGACCGTGATGTGCCAAGGGTTAACAAAACTGTTATTAGCATCTAATATTTTAAACTTAGTCCCATTAATAAAAATCAAGTGTGCATAGATCTAAATATCCATTTTAAAAATCATTCTTTTCAAAATATAATGTTCAAACTATTAACTTCCCTTTTTAACATTTTTTTCTATGCACAAATCACCGTATTAACATATTTCAAATCAATTATAAAATTTAAAAATAGGATTATTTTAATAAATAATTGATTCATTACATATTGAATCCAATAGCATAACTTTTTAATAAAATAGAATATGTTTAATAATAAACAAATTGAATAAAAATAGGATAAGTAGAGAGAACTATATAATTCATAAATAAAATAATAGCAAAGACTTTAAATTAAACAAAGTATATTAAATAAAGATCTTTTAAAAGAAATTAATTGGGACACACTCACGACTTAAGAGATTCTCAAGAATTCTAAAGCTTGTTTATCTTAACTTTTTACTTTAATTCTAATGATGTCCTTAATTTTTTGACAATTAAATCATATTTCTAAAATTATTTATTAAGTAATTTCTAAATCTAATTCAAGAATGGGAATTTTAATTTTAAATTGACTAACCACGCTTTTATGGTCAAATGTAATTTTTTAGAATTTTCTCATCAACAATATAAACTTTTAAACTAAAATATAAATTTCTCCTTTTTTATTAATAAACTTAAATTTAACTATATGAATCAACTTTACCCTCCTCTTAAGTATTTAAACAAACCTTTTGGGAGGATTCCCATTTGTTCACCACATAACCAATTTCCATCCATTCCAACTTCTAATCATCATCATTTAATTCCTAAATCAAATTTCCATGCATTACTTAAGCATCATCAAGAACACAAAACATCTTAAATTAAATCCCAATCAACCATTTAAATTACACTTGGCAACAACTAAATTTAGAAACTTCAACTAGAAATTCTAACAATATATATATATATATATATATTGTTAGGACAAGTGACTTAAAGCCCAATATGCTTTCTCTATCCCAGCCCGTTAAGGCCTCTGTATAATTTAACAGACTTAATGTGCTAGGCCCACTTGTTTATTCTTGGTAGGTTTTCAGTTGTAATGCTGTATCCTAGGGTTTAGTGCCCTCCTTATATAAAGGAAGGAAAACCCTTGGCTTTGTGCGCCACTATTATTGCACAGTCATTTATCTCATATTTCTTGTATATACTATCATTCAACAAACTTCTTCCCTCACTACTTTAAACAACAACTAATTCAATTTCCTCTTTCTTTAACAATAACCAGCTGTAACAATTTAGATAAAATTCAAACTCTGAATCTTCAAAAAAATTACTAGCATAAGTGTCACCAAGCTATCACTTTTCACTTAATATAAAACTTATTTAAATAAAATATCCATTCAAAAAAAATTTTGTATTAAATTTAAAATTTAAAATCATTACAACTGTAATAGTTTGTTGGACTTTTAATTGTAAATATTGAATACTTGAATATGTGATAATGGTTTTGGTGTTACATTAGTATGCTTGTAATGCTGATGTTGTTTGTTGGACACTATGACTGTGTAGGGATGTTGTTGTTAGAATAATTTGACAAGTTTAATTTGGCTATGAAAAAATACAAAATATATATTAAAAAAATACACATACAACATCACTTTTATGAAATGGGAACTAGTTTAGGTAAATCACATTCCTTCTATACTTAAAAGTAACTTGGATGTCTCTTTTTAAAGGAGTGACCTCATTAATCTTATCCATGTCATTAAATAATGTGATTTGGATAAGACAATTTTCTAAGTCAATCAAATTTATGCCCTATATGATAGAAACATGCAAAGCCTTTTCTATGTGTAGTAGTGTTTCTTAATTAATTAATATTGTAAATGTACGTGTATTAATTTCCCATAGCATGGGTGCCCATATCACAATTAAGTCTCCCGAGCAAGAGGCCAAATAGGAGCTGGACCAGAATCATTGTTGGAGGAGTCAACATAGATGAAATTCCTATCATATAGATGCCAGATATCAATCCTTTCATGTCTAAATTTGTGGCAGAGTTTACATTACACTTTGTTGCCGTTACCTCCATTTCTATTGTTGTCATTGCCATTTTTGTTTCTACCTCCTCATCCTCGACCCCTGCTACCTCTATTGCAACCATGGCCATGCCAAGTGCCCTTATTGCCATGACTATAAGAGTAATTGTCAGACCTGATAGCAAGGTGAGCCATACAGCATTGCTCACATCAGAGAGAGGTCTGAGATTCAAACTATCAAGGCAACTTTCAAGAATAATATTGAATAAGGTTCCTCCATACTCTCACTGGGAATTGTACACAAGAATAAATAATATAGAAGGTGGACACCTGGTCCAGTGAGATAAAGACAATACAACAAATAAAAGAATGACCAAGAAACTATTACAGACCACTAGCGGCGGTAATATACAGAGAGGTTAAATAAACCCCAAGCCTAACTCAGTGACTTGGACATAGACACATTGGGCTTGGATGTCTTGGGCCTTCGTTTATGGACTGATTCTCTAACATATAATTGTGGAGTTTGCTTTGTTATAATATTTTAGGATTAAAGTATTTTTTTTTCTTATTCTTTCTTTCTAAGAGTGTTGAGCACCTTATATTAATAAGTGGGATTTTTTCATCTATACCATTTTTAAAGGATAAAAAATTCCCCTCCATTAGCAATTCGTTAACTTTGCTATTTTATGCTGACGTGACATGTCTTTTAGTGATAATTTATCCTTGAACTTTTTTTCTAAAAACACTGGACACCTTAAAGTTTTGTTATTTAATATTCATTAACAAAATGATCTTTTAAAAAAATTAATATTGATTAAATATTCATTATATTAAAGCCACGTTAAATGTGGCTACTGACTTATTTCATTAAATAAAATTTGATGAATTTCTTCTGAAAATTTAAATCTTTTTCACAAGCTTTTGAAATATTTAAATACTAAAAATTATTATATTAAATTATTATTTTTCATCATATTTTGAAAAAAATATTTCACACAATTTAATTTTTAAATTGTTTTCAATAATTAAATTTTAATTATTTTTTAATTAGATTATTAATTCAAATTATTCAAATTATTTTTGTTATTGATTGATGTATATATTTTTTTCTATTTATAAAATATTTTTAATTGATATTTTAAATATCTTATTAATATATTAGATTTCACAACCTATAAAATAGAAAAAAATATAATTAGAAAATTTAAAACAAATGAAAAAATGAAAAAGACAGATAGAATAAAAAATAAATAAAATAAAAAATTTAATTATAAAATAAGAAACGAAATCAAAAAATTAATAAAATGATAAATAACTTACATAAAAAAAATAAATCAGAGTCGGAAGATATCAGAGAACCTGAGAAGATGAGATATGATGAGGAATAAATGAAAGGCGATCAACAAAAGAAAGCAGACGAGAGTATATATAAAAACAGATGAAGCCACATTTTTCCTAAAAAACGTGGCTTTACAAGCCATTTTTTTTTTGTACAAAAGCCACGTTTTTGTAAAAAAAGTGGCTCAAAGCCACATTTTTGTAAAAATTACAAAAACGTGGCTCGACATGAGCCATTATCAATTTTTAAAAATAATTTAATTTAATTATTTTATTTTTATTTTACATCAATAAAATAAAATATTTTTATTAATAATTAAAAATAATTAAATCATCCTAACAAAAAAATTATTGTATTATTAACAAATTAATAAAATTCATGATATTAATTATAACTCATTAATTAATTTCTAACAAATTAATTAGTCTTAATAATTAAAAAAATTATTTTATTTTATACTGTACAGAAATAGTGATTGTGAATAAATTACTCTAACATAATCATCATTATATAATTAAATATATTTTGTTATGCTAATTTTTTATAGTACTAATTTTAACCAAGCAATATTTATATAATAATAAGTATCTTATATTTGTGATAAAAAATTTTATTTGTTAAACAAAATTTAAGTATAAGATTATGAAAATTATGCTGTTAATATTAACAGAAATAATTTATATATTATTCCTGACAAAAAAATAATTTATATATTATTTATACATTATCATACTCATAAGGAGAATATTATAATTGAAAAAAAATTTAATAAAACATTTTTCATCAAAGTTTTAACAAAGTTAAATATAAAGAAAACAAAAGAAACAAATATTCATTAGTTCATTACAAATAATGATTTCAAAAAAAAAAAAAAAACAAGAAGAAGAAACAGGCCTGTAGGGGGCAAGAGAATTTATAAGGCTTTTGAGCCACATTTTTGCAAAAAAAATGACTCAGAGCTACGTTTTTATGAAATCATAAAAGCGTGATTTTTATTAGTGTCAGTACCTGCTACTTGCTATTTTTTCTTTCAGAAAATTAAATTAACCATGATTTAAGGAAAGCCGTGGCGAAAATTCATCACTATTATCACCTTTTTTTTGTAATGATAGCAAGTAGAAAGTGGGAGTTTGGTAGAACTTATATTAGAAAATATTTTTTTGAAGATCAAGAGTTTGAATTCTACCTAGCAAAAATTTGATTTTATTTGGTTTCAAATTATAGAAAAACATTTTTGTCCATTTTTGTAATTTTCCCTTGTGCCCTCCCTGGTAATTTTCTTTGTGTTTTATTTTGTAATTTTTCCAACGCTTCTTTGATCGGATTTTTACATCTGTAGTGAGGAAAGAAAACAGAGCATTATCGCTTCTTACTTCTCCACCAACGTTGTGCTCTTCTTCCTTATTCACTGTCGAACTCTTCATCCTCCTCCTTCTCGGTCATGTTTCCTCGCTCATCAGTCCTCACCATCGGTCTGTGTCGTCCTCACTGCTGTGCTCTTCTCCATCTTCGTTCGTCCATTGTAGTTGGTAAGTTGCTGTATTTTTCTTTCTCTGTCGTTGCCCTCTGCTTCATCACTGGTCCGAGCCAGCATGTGTGTGTGAGTGCTCTTCAATTTCCTTTCTTCTTCAGCAGCTGCACGTCTTGTAAATATGTGTGATGAGCTCAATTTTTTCCATGGCTGGCTGGCAATCCTGCTCTTCTTCTTCTCTGCCCTGTCATAGCTGTTGTAAAAGTGAGGCTTCAAACCATTATTCTTTGTGATTTTGTTGAGCATGTGTGGGTAATTAAGTGAATAAGGTTGCAAACTCTTCTCTTGTGCGTGCTGCAATGGTTGTTGCTGCAAGAAATTTCTCTTGCTTTGTGCTGTCATATATGCTTGAACGTAAAAAGAGAAACTGATTTAGGCTGAAGTATTTGTATAAAGAACAAGATGATGATGGTATGGATTTTAGTTTTGGTTGAACTTGTTCTGATTATTTGATGCTGATAAATTTTTGGAAAGTGAAATTGATGTGGAAGATGTTGGTATTAGTTTAAAGATTAATGACCACAGGGTATTTGATGAAATGCATATTAGAAAAACTTTGTTTAATTTTGGTATTTTGCTGAAATTTTATTAGTTATTGTGAGAACTATATTTTGTATAGGTGTTATTGATCTATAAACTTATTTTGAAAGTTGAAAAGAAAATTTGATTACAAAATTAATATGTAATAATTTGAATTTTTGAGAGTGGATGGTTGTTGATTAAATTATTATAGGAAATAATTATTTTCTATAATGAAGGTTGAAGAGAGAAATTAGAGGAATTTTTTTCAAAGAGGTATTTGATTGATAATTTAAAGGGTAATTGAAGAGCTTGAAAATAAATTTTCCTTGCCTATTACAAGAAGGAAAATTATAGTGACATTAAGATAGTTGGTTTGTGTGCTAGATTATTTGGGGTACTATTGAGGTAAGCGAGAAATTGAGAAGATCAAACTTTAAAATTCTTGGAGACTTTTAGGTAAGTGAGTGGCATTCCGAATATATATTCAGTAAAGTATTTATAAAAATTTTTTTTATTTAAATATTATTACTATTGTTTTATAAATTGTTTACATATTCTTGTTAATCCTATTTTCATATTAATAGTATTATTTCTCATAAGCAGTTTAATTATTTAATACCACATTGATATAAAATTTTTATTAACAATGATTTATGTGTGAAGGAAATGATGATAATGTTGGGCCATGGAAAATAATAGTTGAATAATATTTGAAAGTGAGAATTTTGAAACTATTGTTCTTTTTCCATACACACTTGATTTTAATGAGAGAGATTGAGTTTAAAATACTAGATGCTATCAGTAGTTCCGTTAGCCCTTGGCATGCTATAGTACACCTAGCTAGCAGGATGCTTATAGGAGATGCTAGCTCTCTGTGCAGGCCAACGCACATGGAATGAAGAGACAGTTATTCATGAGCATTATATTCACACTTGTTTTCACGGGCTTCATGCCTGCGCTTGATCTGTGGCTCCTGCCGTGCTTGATTGATTACTTATCCTCGTGGACTGTGTATCCACGCTTGTTATTTGTTTTGATAAAGCCCTCCTAGATCAAAACTTAAAATTCATTATTTTTATATTATATCTTTAAAAGCATTCTACCTACTGTTTCTTGAAATTTTTATATTTTATGAACATTATAAATTTTGATAAATTACTTTGTTTCATTAACATTGTTCAAATTCATGATTGTATCATTGAGAAAACTTGTTGTCTATTATTATTATTAGTTTAAGTTCATGTTTCATTATTTCAAAATTTTTAAATTAAATTTATTCGTTAATATCTTCATATATTTATATGCACGTATATAATTGGAATGCTACTCACCAATAATTACTTTGGTCTTAGATAGTGTAACTGACTTTACACTTTTAGTAGATCATTGAGAAGCTTTGCTTTTTTAGAAAAGAGGGGGCACATTGTGATTATTATTTTGGTAAAACCATGTATTATATTTTGTAATCATAACTTAGTCCTCCACATATACCATAGTTAAGTCTTAGTCTTATTTAATTATTATGTAAATTGCTGAAATGGAGCTAGTCTCCTTGTTGGGTTGGTTGGCAGGTTCTATTGTTGTCATGAAAATTTCAAGAGGTCCAAATTATAGGGGAGGCTTTGTCAAAATTTTTACAAAACATTTAAAACTTTGCAAACTTTATTACTATATTTAACTTACATATATCGATATTTTGGTTTATTCCTGATCAATCAAGCTTATGGGATATGAGTTTTAATGCCCACAAAAATTTAAGAGACACCATAAGTGTATGGGTTACAATTGAAGCTAGTGGTAAATCAAGGTCGATCCCTCAAGGAATTGATTAAAATGGTGATTAGGCATTAAAATTTCAAATTCATTCACCTTAAGCTAATAAAACTAGAGATTGATTTTACAACAATTAAAATGAAAATATTAAAAGTAATCAATTAAAATAACTTTCAATTCACAAACAACTCAAGTCAACCAAGAGAAGAGTGTTCTAGAGTCCTAATTCTCTATTTGCTTCCTAACCCTCTCATTACCACATTAATTGTCTTAAAATTTAGTTTTGATAATCCGGAAATATAAATTAACCCAAAGTATCTTTCGACTACTAAGGATCCTAATTAATTCAATTAAAATAAATTATTATCTTAATTAATTAATTGCATTATAGAACCTAACCCATGAGGATTACTTATGTCCATTAGATACATTCTTGTTCTAATGGCAAATTAGTTAAACTAATCCTAGGCTATTAGTTTGCAAGGTCCAATTTGAGTCTCCTCCTTTAAGATTTAACTCAAATGTCCAAATCTCACCTAATAGTGGTCAATAACTAAACAAGAACAAAATAGCTCAAGAACAAGTAATCAAAACTTCATTTCTCAACAACTAAATGGTAAATCTAAGGTTATTTACACAAATAGGTTCATAGTCTTCTAGAATTAGAAGATTTATCTCTACATAGTTAAAATGAAAACTGTAATAGCAGAGGAAAAATTTGAATTGATTAGCAAAAAGGACAAAAAGAAGAGAAAACACTAAAAAACTGAGGTAGAATGAAGATTTGCTCTACTTCTTCTTGACCCCAAGCTTCACAACCTCTCCTCTTGCTCTCCTAGGGTTTTTCTCTAGTTGCAGCACCTGAAAGGTGGCTCCTCTAGTCTAGAAACACAAGTTTTATAGGTTAATTTTGCACAGCAAATGAAACTGTGTGTTTCTACATTTTCATCTGGTGCCATTGCATGACATAAAATGGTCTGGTCCTTTTCCAAGAGGCTACACTAGTATTGCAACAAACTAATAATTCTTTAAGTATCAATTATGTAGACACAAGCATAATTATTAGTATCTTCCTCTGTGTCTCAGCTTCCTTTCTTTTCATTTTCAACTGTCACTAGCTTGAGCATTTACCGTCAATTTGTTGCAGCTAGCTAGAGTTGGAGCTCATTTTTCATTGTTGAATATTGGCCAAAATCTCTTCCTTCTCCCTTATTTGAGCTCACAGTGTTTTATTGGGTTGAGGTATAGATTACGGGATTATTTTGCTTGTGCTATTGTTGAGTTTTTTTTTCCTACTATGTTCTTCTTATGATGCTTCTTCTCTCTACTCAATTCTGGTTATTGTTTTGTTCTCATAAACTACATTCACGTATTGCTAATGGGTGGAAGAAATCAGGTCGCCATAATTGGTGGTGCTGGTCATGAGCTAAAACTAACGCTGATTCCGTCCTGTTTCCTCTCTTTCGAGCTATGCTTTGTCTTCCCTTTTTCCTTGCTCAGCTAGAGATCTCATCTTCTCTCGCTATTCAGTTGGCAGTCTCTTAATCTCCCTCTTTTGTTGTTATTGGTGGTTAAGGTGAGGATTTTTTAGTTTTCTTTCTTTGTTGAGCCGTGTGAGAGGGAGTGTGAGTTGATGACTAAAATTATAGAGTTCTTCAATAGAATTTTGCTTCTACCCATGCATTGTAGGAAGAAGAAGATTCAAATTTGGGCTGAAAATTTGACTTAAAGCTTGATAGTGATATACATATGGGTCACAATTTTAGAGTTAAATGAATTTTGTTTGAAATGGTTGATGCAAAGAATTTATTGAGGTGAAATTGGAAGAGAATAGCTTAGATATAGAACTTGAATATTGGTGCCTATGAGATGTTTGTTGAAAGGCTTGTAAGAGGAAATTGAACTTGACTTTTGAATATTTATGGAAATGATTAATTTAGGAATTAACCTGTAGATTTGTAAAGGAATTTGATTATGAGATTGCATGTAGCTATTGGAATACTTGGAACTTGTTTGGTTATTGGTAAATTGTTGGATGTTTTAAATTAAAAAGGTAGAAGTAAGGTATTTGGTGCAAAGATTGAGAGAAATTTTTGTTCCAAGAAAATGGATTGGCATGATTAAAACAAATTGGAGGAACTAGTGATATGAATGATAATACTTAGACTAACTCTAAAGCTTGAATTTTGATTTTGAATGATATGAATGATAATACTTAGACTAACTCTAAAGCTTGAATTTTGATTTTGAAATTCTAAATGGTGATGGTTGGTTGAGATTGTGTAATAAATTAAGAATTTATTAAAATTGCATCTATTTATATCCTTATAGGGTATGTGGAAGAATAGGATCCCAACAAGAATTAATGAAGAATATCTTTGAGAATTTGGAACTCCAATGTGTAAGTGAATAGCATCCCATTTAATTATTTATTAATAATCTTTTATTAAAATATTTTATTTTTATGAATTATGTTAGTTTTAGAAATTTTGGAACAATTATGAAGGACAATTACATTATGATATGTGCATTTATTTTTTATTAAGAAATATATTTCTAATATTGATGAAGGAATCTTTGTTTATTGAATTTTAGAATTTTTTAGTTACACAATTAATGCAAGTTTACATATTCACTTTGATGTATTAATTTGGCAAATTTTATATATTTGAAACAACTCATGCGAGTTTCATATTGAGAATGAAAATTTTATTTTAAAAATAATTATTTCTTTTGCATGTTTAAAACGTGATTTCTAAGAAGACTTTAGACAAAACATTACTGCTAACAGTAGTTCCATTAGCCTGTGGCACCCTGTGGTTAATAACTAGCTAGTTTATTTTGTAGGCTTTGCTCTCATGTTTGTTATTTGTGGGCTTTGTACTGGTGTTTTGTTTTTGTGACTTTGAGTCACATTTGATTATTTACCCTCGTGGACTGTGTGTTCACATTTGTTTTATAGCTCAAGCTGTATTTGGTTACTTACCCTCGTGGAATGTGTATTTACATTTGTTACTTGTTTTGTTAAGTCCTCACAATTCTAAATTTGGACAAATGTTTATATTTAAAATTTTAATGGTTTCAGTTGTTAGTATGTTATTTTGAGCCACATATGTATAAATTATTTTTCTTCTACCATGATGATATAAAGTGTTTCCAATGTTTTCAGTTTAATCTAATTTTGATGGTTATACTTGAGATTTATAAAGTTATTGAGTACATTATATTGACTTCTCATCCTTGCAACTAATTTACAAAATTGATTGAATTTATTATTTTAAATTCTATCATTGGGATGCTATTTGTTGGAAAATTTATTTTGGTTTCAGATTCATTATCTAACGTTGATCTTACTATTGACCTTTGAAAGGCAATACAGCTGTATTAGGTGAAAATTTTGTTTAATACCGTTACTTTTTAATGTAAATATTTAAGTTTTATCTATTTTAATTTAGAAGAAAGATTGGTTACTCTACGTAAATTGTTGCTAGGACTTTATTTTGGTTTATATACTGTTTGCCAACTGGTAGGAGCTAAGCTCTTGACTATTATTTTATTCTATAAATTTTTTGTGTTGTAGAATTTTTGAGAGATCACATTTACAGGGGAGGTTCTGCCAAAATTTTTAATAATAAAAAAAAATTAAAGCTTTGCTATGACAATTAGTGTTAAAGGTATTAAAATTTTCATATAATCTGATTAATTTTTAAAGAAAACATAATGAATTTTCATTTTGAGGCCTACGGGAATGTGTGAAATGACTCGCTCCCATGTTAGTTACCCTCTATTTTCAGGGTGTGAGAGATAGTCTTGAGGAGCTGATGATGAAACAAAGGCATTTACAATGATATCATATGTAGTTCTTTACCCAAAATAGTTGTAACCAGAATGTCAGGGTGAATTATGTGAGACAAAATTAGTAAGACATGGTAAGAGTTTATTTCATAAATCTATTTGTTACTTGCATAATAGACAAAACAAAGCAAAATAAAGGATTTAAATTTGGTAACTATACACAGTATAGGTAATGAGTGCCTGTACCATCAGTGTCTATATAATATAAACTGTTGAAATTTAGATCAATGGTTCTAAATTCATTATTCACTTAAGATTAATGAATAAATAAGTTCATTTGAACCATTGACATGGATTTCAATGGCTCAGATAATACATGCACCCAGTGCCTATAGCCACTAAATCCAAACCGTCATAAAAAAAATGAAGATTCTCATAAAAAAACAATATCTATGAGGCTTCTTATATATTTGACATTCATGTATTGCAATTTTGAAGGATGATAGTTGAAATTAATTAATGTATCTATGTCGGTATTGTATCTGATACTTATACATGCCAAAACTTTAGATGCGTATCTATAAATAATCAAGATATTATATTTTAATTTTAATTTTTTTAAATTTTCAATATGTATCTTATACTTCTAAGTTTTGAGTCAATATTTCAAAGCCTAGGTTTCTTATGTATCATGCCCCGAAAATAAGTGTAGGTTTTGTGTGCTGTGGGCTGTCAACATCTGCTAATCCCCTCCATTATTGCTCTTCATGCTTTCTCTTCCATTTGTTCTAAGGTTGGTATTTCCCTCCCTCCATTATTGCAATCTTTCTTTGCTCCAATTTAGTCATTATATAAATTGGAAATAGGACTTTCCACACTTAAAAAATTTTACACCTGGAAAAAGGTTAGTCATTTAATTTGCCAAGGCTTCTGAATTCATCCAAATCTAAAGCATCCACGTGTCGTTGTCTGTTGAAGTTTTCGGTGCCTTCCAGATTTGAAGTGCCATCACGATATGCTCTTACTCTTGCTCATCCAACTGAAGTTGCTGAAGCTCGTTCAAGCATTTTAGTCTCAATCCCATGATCATTACTTCCATCCTTTATCAATTCTCGCGTTTCAACCTTTAGTTTTAGCTTCCATCATCTTCTCATCTAGTTATTTTCAAATACCTTAAGTTACTTGAAGAAATTTGTTTCCAACCTCTATTCATGCTCATCCAGAGCATAAGCAAAGTTGTTGAAACTCAAAGGGAAAAATAGTTGCAAATACATATAAATTATTTGAAGAAATTTGCATGTCTTTCAATAAGATTGATAGTCTTGTATGTTTTGCAGGATGATATTATTTGCATCGAAATTATGAATTTAGAAGCTCAGGCTCAACTCAACTTAATTGGCCTTAAAATAATTAAAAATTAATAATCATGATGCCTTAGCTATTAAGTCAAGACTAGGTCTAAGTCATTATCTTTACACTCCACCCATAATGCTTGAATTATGAAAGTTAGGAAAATGGCCATGATAGAGAAAGTCCTTCCTAAATTCAAGAAAAGTGGCAATCATGGGGCTTGGGTCAAGCCAAGATCATCTATAAAAAGAGGAGCATTTTCTCAACAAGGATAATTATTAGCATCAAAAAACTACTAGTCAAATTCTTAGATTTTGCGTTTGCTACATTATTTTATTTTTCCTTTTATCATGTAGTTTTAGTCTTTATTTTTTTTATTGTACAGTAGACATAACTTGTCACCTCTTTCTTCAATTAATATATCTCTACTTCCTTGCATCTACAATATTTTTCTTCACTTTGCATTCTTACATTCGGGTGAACAATGATAAAAGACCCTAAGTTCCTCACATTTGAATCGAAGTCAAGTTCTTCCATCCTTTTAAGATCTTACGTCTCTAGCATGCCTTGCAACACGCCCTTTTTTATTTTTGCTGAACAGATATATTTCATATACCATAGGCTTAGAAATCATGTTGGGGAGATTTTGGAAGTTGGGATCCTATGATTACTATACCTCTTGGCTTGTATATTCGTGGAAACTTGAAACTTGTTGCCCTATTCATTTGTTTAGTTTCATTAATTTAGTCAACTAACTAAATAAATTATGTCATTTTATCTTACAATACTTTGAAGATGCCTGATGCAAGTCTTACCAAATGAATTTTATTGCTAGATTTGTTGCTAGAATTTGTTTCTATATTTCTATAATGCAAGGGTTGTTTAGAAATGTTGCCTCCAATTTTTTTTTTAAATTAAAATATGTATTGATTATTTGAAGATAACCGCTATATAGTGGCGGTTATCTTCAAATAACTAATATATAGTACAATTTTCAAACTATATAATAGTTATTACAAAGTATTTTACAGTAACTACTATATATAGTACAATACAAGATGTGCCCTATTTATATAAATAAATACAAGTCAGTCATGATAGAAGAGTTAGCAGTATTTCAGAACAAAGTGTAGGAAAAAAAATTATCTATGAGGCTTCTCAGATATTTTATATTTATTTATTGCAATCTTGTCTTAGAGGAATGCAAGACGAAGGTTGATTTAAAAAAAAAAAAAGCTTGCAAGGGAGAAAAATGATAAAAATTTTAATGAGACTCGAAACGCAACATTTTCTAGAGTTTTTCTATGATTATGAAGAGGCTTTTCGGGCTCAAAGAGCAAAGCAACTGGGAGATAAAAATATAAAAAATGGAGAAAGTTTAAAAACATTTAAATCTAAAACACTTAATAAATAAATTTTTTATTTTTAAAAACAAAATAGTTTTTAAAAAATAGAAATCAAGCAGGACCTAATTATTAAGAGCATCATTTATTTTTGTCCTTGAATGATACATGACTCTACAGTCCCTAGCTAAATTGCTTTACAACAATAACAAAAATCTTATCCTATCATTATTAAGTATGGTGTCGGTTGCATATATGGCGTTGAAGCATCGTGAGATCAAGTTAAATCTCCTTATGATGTAATTTTTTTATGACACATCATGAGATCCTACACATTATGGCACATATGGACCACACCTAATTTTATTGTTTGATGTCACTACATGCAATAATGTCAACTAAAATCGTCCGCGCCCCCAATACAACAAAAATGATTAAATTGTGGGGCAAGTCTCCATTCGTGCCTTGAATATAGTCCATACAAGTTGATGTCACTTGTTGGGTAGTCGTTAATCTATCACCATCTTGCTTGTGCATCTGTAGTTACGAAAAAAAAAAAACATTAATGTTGCATTTGAACACATGAGGATGTGGATTTAAATTTGAATTAGAACCAAATCCCCCGTTTGGATCAAAAAATTGTTAATCTATCATCATCTTTCTTGTGTCGATAGTTATGTAAAAAATATTAATGTTGCGTTTGAATATATGATGATTTGGATTTGTATTTGTATTTGAATCAGAATCAAATTCCCCATTTGGATGCAAAAAAATATACGAATCTCGTTTTCATCCAGATCTAAATTCATATTTTATTATAATTTTTTTGTAATAAAATCTTTTGCTCCCAACTAAAAGGTATTGGAGAGGTCTAATTCCAACATCAAAATGATATGTGTAGGTTTCTCCAAATTGTTAACTTAATATTTGTTTATATTCTTTAATGTTGAAATTATCCTTTGTGTATGTGTAGGTTTATGTGCACACGTATGTGTTCATGTGTGCTAATACTAAAACCTTCCGAGGTCTAAGAATGTTAATATCATCAATGCCATATAATGTTTACATATCATAGAATTGAACAGCGGGAGCAAGCAATTTTGGGACAACACAGATAGCAATTCTAGAAGTTAATACACACACATGCATGTATCTATGTTTGCTTTGGATTAGCACATATAAGTTATAATAATGTTTTGTAACGAAGTGTGGTGGAAGAACGATGTTTACGTGTTGTTGCTTTCTAAGTCTAAAATTGAACCGGCTAGTTTGACCAAATAACTGGGAACCAATTCATGGTCTTGTCTAGTCAAATTTTAGAGAGGGGAGGGGATGGGAGGGATTTTGATGAGTCTGTTTGGTTTGAGAAAGGAGGGAAGGGGAAGCAATAATAAGTTGACAATCCTACTCTTGTCAATTGTAAGTTGATTTTTCAGTACTACAAAAGAAATAATCATAATAATAAATGAAGGTTATTTTAGCCCATAAATGATAGTTAATATACTTCATTTCTGTAACTGATATTTAAAGCCTCTCAATAAATAACAATTACAAAACCATTATTTAAAATAAAATTTTGACAAAAGCTAAGGTTGAGCCATATGAGACAATACATGACGAGTAAATTATTTACTCATCATCTAAAGCCACATTATATGACAATATATGACGGGTAAATAATTTACCCATTATTTATTGTGACTTTAAATGATAGGTAAATGATTTACCCATCATTTAAAGTATGGTAAATCCTAGAATGCAATTTTCCATTTTTTAAATGACGGGTAAATCATTTACTCATCATTTAAAGTCACAATAAATGACGGGTAAATTATTTAGCCATCATATATTGTCATATAAATGAAAGTTATTTAGATAACCATCATTTATTATATGTTTTTTTTAAATATGGGAGCTGTTTTTATACCAACCCCTTGCCAAAAAAATAAATCAAAATAGAAGCAGACAATTATTCCAAATTTGAATATCAATGAAATTTATTGTATTTAATTTCAAAATTAATCAATAAACATCTCTTAACTAATCTATATCAAGTAAACAAATATAATTATATAAAGTAAACTATTTCAAAAAATAAACTACCTATTAAAAATGTAAACATCCTAGCTGCATCTTCGAGGGAGTTTTATTGAACTTCCTTGTATGATGTCCATACTTGAAAAATGTATTGACACTATTTTTCAATTATCTCATTTATTTCTGCACTCCCGAATTTTTCAATATAAGAATCGTCATAGTACTGCAATATATAAATGATCTACCATAAATTAATTTTAATATGTTATTTTTTTAATTTAAAAGTTAATATTGTTGACATACTATCTTAGGAATTATGCTCCCACTATGGATAATGATGTCCTTCATGAACCTTATGATGCAAAAGCCATAATCCAAGCTATTTTTCTTTTGTATTGGACACTAAAAATTAAAGAATAGATGAATATGTATTAATACATTACATTTCAATTTAATAAATGATTCCAATTACCTTTATTATATTCTAAGTGTAGGCTACATCAAAATTTGTAAAGGACCTTGGAATTGATTGTTTTGTATTAGTATGGTATAACACAATCGCCCTAATAAAACAGTAAAAAATACATTAGTATGGAATTTAAATAAACAAATAAATATGTGAAATACTTTGTGCACTTACGTATTAATCAATTCAAATAAAATTTGTCTATTCCCTGGTTGCTTCCAAGAGAATTGAGATAATATATCTTTAGAGTGTTGTCGAATGGTTCGACGGTGATCAATATCTAATGGTCCTTAATAGTATTAACAAGTGCTGCAAAATTATAATTAATTGATTAAATTAAAAATAAAAAAAATATTAAGATAAGTGAGAAGTACATTACCTTGGATAGTATGATATTCTGAATAACGTTCCCTTTCAAGCCCTTGCTTTGAAATTTTTACTTAATGCCTTGTTCTAAAATTTTGTTGCTTTTAATTAAGGCATGTGCAACCACTTCATGAGGACTAGCGAAGATGAACTTTGTTTGTAGATCAAAAAGGACCATAAATTTTTCACATGAGCACCTATTATAAATATTACAAATGGATTAGTTTATATTTATAGGTAAGGTGTATTAAGGATGAAGAGGGAAGAATTTTAGTTACAGATGATGAAATTAAAAATAGATGGGAGACTTACTTTTCCAAACTTTTCAATGATGGAAAGGGTTCATCTAACAACTTGGAGGATTTAGTAACTGGTGAAGGAGAACAAAATTTGTCATTCTATCAAAGAATACGTGATAAGGAGGTAAAGGAAGCTCTTAAGAAAATGGCAAATGATAGAGCCAACGAACCTGATTATATATCTATCAAAGCGTTGAAATGTTTAGGTGAAGAAGGGGTGATATGGTTAACTAAGTTATTTAATGTGATCTTACGGTCCAAAAAAATGCCTGATGAGGGGAGGAGAAGTACATTAATTCCTATTTATAAAAATAAAGGAGATATTCAGAATTGTACTAACTATAGAGGGATTAAACTCATGAGCCACACAATGAAATTGTGGGAGAAAGTAATTGAGCACAGGTTGAGATTGGAGACAAGTATTTCTGAGAATCAGTTTGGTTTTATACCAGGTAGATCAACTACAGAGGCGATTTATCTACTAAGGGGATTAATGAAAAAGTATCATTGTAAAGATAAAGATTTACACATGGTTTTTATTGATTTAGAAAAAGCTTATGATCGTATACCAAGAGAAGTGCTTTGGAAAGTGTTGAAAAAAAAGGGAGTACGGATTGCTTATATTAAAGCCATACAAGATATGTATGAGGGGGTAAAAACTAGTATAAGAACGCCTAGTGGTCAAACAAAGGATTTTCCTATAAAGATTGGACTACATCAGGGATCATCTCTAAGTCCTTATCTGTTCAACTTGATCCTAAATGTTTTGACGGAACATATTCAAGGAGAAATTCCTAAATGTATGCTCTTCATGGATGATATAGTTCTTATAGCAGAGACAAGAGAAGAGGTTAATTGCAAACTTGAGTTATGGAGGAGGATATTGGAGTTGAAAGGTTTCCGTCTGGGTAGGAGTAAGACAGAATATTTTATTGTAAATTTGGTAAGAGACTATTTGCCAATAATTTAGAAGTGAAATTGAGAGATCAAATTATACCTCAAGTGGAAAAGTTTAGATATTTGGGAGCCACTATTCAAAATGATGGCGAAATCAGTGGAGATATTTCACATAGGATTCAAGCTGGGTGGTTTAATTGGAGAAAAGCTAAAGGAGTTATTTATGACCGTAAGGTGCCTAATAAACTTAAAGGAAAGTTTTATCGCATTGCTATCAGACCGACAATGTTATATAGTAGTGAATGCTGGGCTCTAACGGGACAGCAAGAGCATAAAGTTGGAGTAGCAGAGATAAAAATGTTACGATGGATGTGCGGACATACATGTAAAGATAA